ACCACCACCGCCGCCAACTTTCACCTCTCCCAACTGCCCAACTAATCGTCCGTTTTCTTAATCTGTCTCTCTTTCTCCATCTCATTTTTTTCTTCTTTTTCTGATATTCCTACAAATTCTACAACTTTTTTTTGTTGGCGACGGACGGCGGAAACTAAGTAGTAGTCCGGTCTCCGAAACTTCTCGCTAAGCCTTCTTCTTCTTCTTCTCCTGTAAGCTGATTCAGTCTCTCGATTCTGATTCTCTACTATGCTTGCCCACCACTCGCTCGCTCTCTTCTAAGCCTCTTTCATTCTCTAAACGTACTACTACTACTACTACTACTACTTCCTAAACTACCTACTACTAACTGTATATGTTCAATTCAGTCGTCGTGGTAATATTCTTATTGTTGCTGAAATAACAGCTGCTGAAATTCTTTTAGCTTAGAAAACTGCTTTTAGAACATTGCACGTAGCCCTTAGTTTTGCTTTTAGTAGTTTTGCTTTGTTTTGTCCACCACCACCACTTTGCTTTGCTTTGCCGCCTGCCTGTGTGTGTGTTCCTGTTTGTATACCGCCACTCAGTTTCTAATATTTACCTTTTCCTTCTTTCTCTCCCCCTCCTTCATCTCCGAAACTATGAAGAAGCGTTTCCGACTTGCATTTGAGTTTGTCCGCAAGCAACTCTCGGTGCCCCTCGCCGCCGTCATCCCCTCCACGTCCAGCAGTCAACAGCAACAGCGAAACGACACAGTATCGCGTCATCATCCGAACAGTCACCCGCACTATTCCTTCAACCGCTACCTCCTGCTGAAGATGGGTGCCATTCTGGACACACCGCACACCGACAAGACCACCGAGAATGGCACCGGCAACGACCTCAGGTACGGCGTCTGCAGCATGCAGGGCTGGCGCGTCGAGATGGAGGACGCCCACTGCGCCCAGGTCGGCCTGCCCGATCTGGACGACTGGAGCTTCTTTGCCGGTAAGTGCCTAATTGACAGCCCTTAACTTTAACTTTGTATACTTATCGTCATTTCTATTCATCACCCCCGCCAGTGTTCGATGGCCACGCCGGTGCCTACGTCTCGGCGCACTGTGCCCAGAACCTGCTGAAGACCATTCTGCAGACGGAGAAGTTTCGGCAGTACGCCATTGCCTCACAGACTACCAAATCAGCCGCCGCCTCCTCCGCCTCCTCTTGTTCAGCCAAATCGAATGGAGACTCGGCGGAGACGGGCTCTGCAGAGGCGGAGAGCGGCGAGAAAAAGACAGAAGAGGCGGAGGCTGACTATGCCTGTGCCGGAGATGAGGAGAACTCCTCCGCCTCCTCGGCTTCCAAGCCGACGGCGGTGGAGACGGCGCTGCAGAAGATCAAGCTGAAGATTCGCGACGGCTTCCTCACGCTGGACGAGAAGATGAAGCAGCTGCCGGAGGTGGAGTCCGGCGAGGACATCAGCGGCTCGACGGCGGTCAGCGCCCTCATCTCGCCCAGTCACTTCTTCTTCGCCAACTGCGGCGACTCGCGGGGCGTCCTCTCGCGGGACGGCGTCACCGCCTTCTCCACCTTCGACCACAAGCCGGTCAATCCGATTGAGAAGGACCGCATCCAGCGGGCGGGCGGCAGTGTCATGATCCAGCGGGTCAACGGCTCGCTCGCCGTCTCCAGAGCCCT